GCGTCTCGCCACGTAAAATAAGGCATTAATTCAATTCAATTATGGGATGGATATGTGAAAAGACAGAAGAAAATGAAGATATTAGAACACGAGTCAGGTTAACGCCTAGTTTATTGGTAAAAAAAGTAAAGCTGAATCATTAAAATTAGAGAAAAAAATATTGTTTTTATCACGAACGTTTGTTGGTTCTATTGTTCGAGCGGCGACAAAATTCCCGAGGGCCTTTGGTCCGAGGTTCTCGTATGAAGCCCTTGGTACGTAAATAACTATTTTGGACGAAATGCAATGATGTAATCCGCGATGTAACCTAGGTGCATTAGTAACGGAATCGGAATCCTACGAACAGGGCGAGCAGAGCGGACGGAACTCCACAAGGGCCGAGTCGCGAACTAGGTGGGTCTGAAAGAAATGGCGGAAGGGACAGAACTGCTTAAGAGTATTCATCGTTGAATACTTACACGTCACCTTCAGACGCTCCCTGCTCTCTGTTAACTGAACTGCCTTTTTACATCCTAAGGCAGATTAAAGCTAACTTCGTCTTCATCACTCCGTTGGCGCTCGTAGGTTTATTGCGGCCGAGAGTCTTCTGCCGCTAGCTCTTAAGCCTGCTTCCTTTTACTGGTAGAGAGGTTTGATTGTGTCCAAATGGCGTTCACGTAGTGGTCCGTAAACCCATTTTGGAGCTTATTCTCCCTAATATGTAGCCAGTCTCACTCACAGCTAACTCGCACAATATTCGAGCAGGCAGGGGAGTGGGAAAAATGCGTATTAAATGTGCTAAACGGTGGTTTGGACAGGCGTCATCACGGTAACACTAAAACAAACATTTATCCCCAAGGCGATAATCGAACCCACATCTGGGGCTGCCGTCGAAACCTTACGCTACGGGACAGAAATGGGTTGCAAAGTCATCAGAAAGAGTGTCTTTAGAACATTAAATGATCTAAATTGATGATTTAGAACATCGGTTATCTTTCAGAGCATTAAGGGACGGGTTGGGATAGTTGAAGCACTTACGTCTCGCGAGCGTCCCTTGTAACGCCGGGATGTGACTTACTTTCTCCGGCGGAGTTCCCAGTTAACAATATCCAACGTATCTCTTAATAAAACATGAGCTATCCTTAGGGAGGGGATAGGAAAAGGAAAGAATAAGAGGAATTTCTTTTTCCAGGGCATCTGCTAGGGTTCTGCCGTGCCACAAGCATGCCATGGCACATCTGAAAATGTTCAGCCCATCGAAAATTCACTATCGACATTTGGGAGTTATCTCGGAAACTAGGGATTTGGGATTCGACCCCCTTTAGAACAGCAGTGTCGCAGCGCGCTGTAAGTTGAACGAGGTTTGCGATGCAAGACGGGCAGGAGAATGAAAGAGGGGGATATGCAGTTGGGAAGAGGAAAACACGGGTTGGGGCGTGGTGGGCAGCATAATGGGCGTATCAGAGAAACTATAGCATAATAAGCGTATTAGAATGGCCATTGCCAAATGAGTATAACGGAGCGACTGCAACAAAATAGGCAAAGCGGAACGAGCGTTGCAGAACGAGCGTTGCAGAACGAGCGTGTCAGAAAGAGCGTGGCGAAATGAGAGGGTTAGACATGACAGAGCGAGCGTGGAAGGACCAGAATGAAAGGAAGGGCGTGGTAGAAGAGCGTGACAGGTGAAGCGAGAGGATCGTGTGGGACTGCGGTCGGGCGGAGCGGGGCGGGGCAGGGGCGAGCGTGGGCGTCTCGGAATGCCCGACCGGCGAGGGAAGCGCGCAGTCACGAGCGCCCGCAGATGCCATCGCCCGCCGCGCTGTAGGCGAAACGCCCCCTCACTGGCCAACACTGCCCAGTGGTCCCATTTACGTGAAAATTGGCATGCAAATTCTAATAGAGCGATCATTAAGAAACGCGTTCGTAACCTAACACAAGCAAACCTGCTGTTATACATGTGTGAAAATAAGAATTTGAGTTGAGTTGGAATAAGAATCGAGTCTACAATTTCGATACCTAACTTTAGTAAGTTACTTATCTGCGAATCCAACGAAAGTGCTTTGCTTTTTATGTGATTGCTCTCAGCACCGTGTCTCTAAATATTTTTATTTCAAAGTAATGGATTATAAATTGCTTACATCTTTAATGTTTCATAGCATGTAAATCTAAAAATATATAAGCACGTACTCCATAACCCAAAGCCTTTCCTCGTTCGTTGTGCTTTCGTGGTGCAATTTTAAGAATAAACCGGCGTCAGTGGTGTTAAGAAAGTATGTAAGGAAAGTATCTGTGGGTGAGAATAATTTTACATTGATGGTGTTACAATGAATGTCTGAATTTGGTGAGTGGTTCGAATAAGATAGACACACATCACCAGCTGCCTCATTTGAATATACTCTCGTAATTGTATTAGATATGCTTCCCGGACCATGGGACGTAGCTCTTCGCGATGGATAGGCCTATGAAAAAAAATGATGAAAATGTATGTAATGTGATTATGATACCCTTACAGTATTCGTCTCATACGTGCTTTGCTGTGTTTTTTAAAACGTTTAGAGGCGAGCATATTCTTTAGACATGTCAGTGATGTAAGAATTTTGTGGAACATTTGTGTTAGTACCTAGGTGATCGTCTGGTGTCCAGAGTGAAATAGTGCTGACGTGATTTAAGTATTGGGTGGTTGTAAACGCCGGCCTGCGTGGCTAGAGCGTGTGGCGACTCAGCCCTTCTGTCTGAAAGGTCGCACGTTCGAGTCCCGCCGTGGGCATGTCTGTTTGTCCCTTGTCTTTCAGGTATGTGTGTTGTCACGAAAGGACTTGTGAATCTGCTGACCACAGACCGAGGAGCCCAGTGTCTAGCGTAAAGATTAATACGTGTCTCCACGAGGGATGTAGTCAGTACGTGGCGCGGGTAGTCAAAAGCGACATCCCTTGAAAGATGGAAAAAGGTCCCAGCAAGAAAAACATGGAATGATTTTTTTTTTGTTATTTGAGGTCGCATCAACTAGCAACCACTATTGTGTGTAACGGTATGGTAACTATGAGGATGACACGATATGATGACAGGGGAGTGAGAGGACGAACACAATACAACTATACCCGAGGTGGGACTTGAACCCGCGATCCTTCGATCCGAGATCGGTACGGTACTACTGCCTTAGCGATCTCGGCCATCCGCACCGGCAAAAAGTTGATTTATTTATCTGTTTGATTTATTTATCATTATTATGAATATTATTATTATTATTATTATTATTATTATTATTATTATTGGTCGCATTAACTACTAGGTCATTAGCGACCACTATTGCATGTAACGGTATGGTAACTATGAGGATGACACGATGTGATGATGACAGGGGAGTGAGAGGACGAACACAATACAACCATGCGCGAAGCGGGACTCGAACCCGCGATCCTTCGGTTCGAGATCGCTACGGCACTCCTGCCTCAGCGATCGCGGCCATCCGGACCAGCGTTGAATGATTGTTGATGATAAAAGTGTGACGTGCTTATGTTTGTGTGTTGCAGCGTGCGACTGCCACCCGATCGGCGCGTCGGGGCGCACGTGCAACCAGACGAGCGGCCAGTGCCCGTGCAAGGACGGCGTCACGGGCGTGACGTGCAACCGCTGCGCCAAGGGCTACCAGCAGAGCCGCTCGCACATCGCGCCCTGCGTCAGTGCGTATGCGCCCCGCGTCTTTCACCTGCGCCGACGCCCAGCTCCCCTCTCCTGAATGTTGGAGCCCGAGACCCGCCTGCCGGCTCCCGAATGCTGCTTCATTCTGTCCTTTTACCACTCTCTTACAATCTGTATCCCGTTTTTTTTCCCGAGACACACCATCTATTTGGCACACCATTGTTTAGTTGCCTGTCCGGGTGGCGGCGCATCCATGGTAAAGGTGCCGACGTTTAACTCGTGCGCTGTACATTTCCGCGCATTACGCCCTGAGGAAGGTCGCAGATTGGCGACCGAAACGTCGGCACCTTCGCCACGGATGCGGCGTCACCCGGACAGCCAACTTAATACTGACTCCGGCCGCGGAAGCCTACTCTCTCTTTGCAAACATCCTTTTACGATCCACTTCACTTATTTCCTCACCTACCAGATATGAAGGGTTTTGGACAGTTCTTAGGTCGCAGCAGGAAGCCTCACTCTTATCACAACTTCACCTCGATTTTTGTCTCAATCTGTATGGTTTATCTGTTTGCTAAATAGTACCCAGTTGTCTTGTTCAAACCACAATGAGAATTCAGACAAGCCCCATTTAAACCAAAATCAAGTTATTAATTTTTACGATAAGTGTGTCTGGCTTCCCGTAGCTGGTGTGACTTATCGTATTACTATTCGAAGGAAGTTCCATGGTCTTCTCCTCTGCAGTCGCTATCCTTTTCCTACTCTCTTTATCAACTTCTTTTCATCCACTTCCCTCTGTCATAAGCTTTGCTGTCCCTATTCTTCCTTAACCGCCTGCCGAACATCTGATTGTTTCTCCCTTAGTTTTTGGCCTGTACCCAGTGCTCTTTTTCCCATATAATACTCAATATTTCACAATAGTTACATACACAATGTATGTAGTTCCGATGGGTGTAATAAAATTGGTCGAGCGTAAAAATGTCAGTGTTAGTATTTCTATACAATTGAGTAATTTATGCCATAAAGTTGGGAGGGTAAGGTCTTGTTACTCGCCACTCAAAAAAAAACAAAAAAACATTGATTGATTCTCCAAATTTAGGTAATCGAATTGTTTTTCCTTATCCGCTTTTCTTAAAAATGCTCGTCAATTTTAAAAAATGTTATTCAATGACATATCGTACAAAATTAATTGAACAATTACATAGAAGTACAACTCTTTCATCTCACGTTTCTTCATGATTTTTTCCTAAACACTTTAAATGAGGGTTGGATCTGTAGAGAAGAAGGATGACAATAATGGTGTCCATTACATGTGACATTTTTTAGAAACGTAAGATATATAATTTTTGTGATTGAAACATTAAAAAGCTTTTAATAATTGATATTGGAATTATGAATTCACACACACTTCGTTTCTCTGCCAACAAGCCCATTTAGGAGAAACTAGAAATGCTTGAATCAAAGGAGATTCTTATTTGTTCACGTTTAATTAATTGTAACTGAAATAATGTTTTTGGCTTGTTGTAGTTTGCTAATATATGACGTCTCACACATTTAAATTCAAATTGATAAATAACCGCACAACAGGTTGAAATTTGGTTTTGTGAAATATATTTTTTTGAGAGCTGTAGCATTTTTATGTTCAATGTCGGACCATAACGAGACGATAAAATTATTGGCAGAAATGCAATGTCTGACAAGTATTTCACCTTCCAATTTTGTAAATTTTCAGACTCAGTCATTCTTTGAATGGAGTGCTGAACAATTTATTACGTCGTAAAACGGTTTCTACAGTTGAGAGCTTGTTGTCCAGTTGTCAGACGAAAGTTGAAGCGCTATGGACTTTATGTGGACACATCTAGATACAAGTCAATGGACACCTCGCCGTGGCCCGCCTTGTTTTCCCAATTTACATGCCCGATAGCTGCCAGTCCACACATCGGACATCGCCGCAAGTTTAATTTCATTCACGTTCTTTTTTTTCTTCTTTGTGTCACTACGAGAGTTGTCGCGGCAGTCAGAACGACAGACCATCTCCAGAGTGTTGACTTCGCATATATTGATTGCTTTCGAGGAGACACGCGTGAAGTCAATAAGAATACTGGCGTCGCTACTCTGTATCCGTTTCGGGTGTTTGCGAAGACCAACACATCGAACCACCTCCAAGACTTATTTTTTTGTGATTAATAAAAGGGAATGTATGCTTTGCCGAATCTTCTCTCGGAGTAGCTACATGGAAAATGTTCTTGGCTGGTGCCGCGTGCGGTGGCTGCGAGTGGAGGTGCAGGGGGGCCGTGTGTTTCGTTCATTTGCGACCGTGGAGTGTTTGCCGTGCACTCGCGGCCAATCCGATCGCAGAGGGATCGCGTTGGAAGTAACCCGCGCGGAGGCCGAGCCGTGCTGGGTGGTGAGGGTCCGAGTGGAAGGCAAACAGCGCGGCCGCAAGGTCGTTGGAGGACGCGCCCCGCCGGCTGCACTCCTCGGCCCTCGCGCCCTCGGCGACGCAGCGCGGCAGCACGCACGCCGCGCTCTCACTCCTTCCTCTCCTTTGTCTTCGTGCTTGCTTTTCCGTTTCTTCTTTTTCGTCGCATTCTTCTCAATTTATTTTTCTTTGATTTTTCATCTTTGCCTATTTTTTCTCGTTTTGGGGATTTTCTTCTCTTTTATTCTTCTTCTTCATATTCTTCTTCTTCAGCTTCTTCTTTGTCTTATTGTTCGTTGTTTTATTCTTCCTCGTCGCCTTCCTCCTCTTCGTTGTTGTCTTCTTTCTCTTCGCCGCCTTTTTCCCCCTTCGTTGTGTCCTTCCTCGTCATCTCCTTCCTCGTCGCCTCCTTTCTCGTCGTCGTCGTCGTCTTCTTCGATGTCGTCTTCTTTTTCGTATTCTTTTTCTTCTTCGTTCTCTTCGTCGACGTTTTCTTTTAGGTAGAGAAGGTTTTTGGCCACTGCTTAATATTATGAGTTCAATGAAGTAAAGAGTCCGATATTTTCAATTTTGAAAATATAATTTTCCTACCCTGCTGTGTATAAGTCTGTAATTTTTGTGACCATTTATTTTGACAACATTAGTACGTGTCATCATTAGTGACGTGCATGGGAGTAGTAGAACAGTGCCCGCGTTTTCTTTAATCATTTAAAAGATACATGGGAAGATCGTCAGAATGTATGTATCAATGATGTGTCAAAATCAGAAAATACGCGTGGTCACAAGAGCAGGCGGCAAGATACATGTACATTACAAATTAAATATTGCAATCAGAATATTGACTTTATATTATTCCTATTTTTTGTAGCGTGAGATGGAGAAAACGTTGAACACCACCGGCCAAATGTAATACTAACGCAAGTTTTCTGTATTGTTGCAATTTGCTCTTAAGATCTTCTTCCAAGGTGTTTCCAATGGAGCTCTAATGAAGATAACCTCAAATGGCTTTACTCACGCGCTGTTTAGAATAATATCACATGCTAAGACTTGTTGGCTCTTTCATGAACTCGACCTTTTAAAGCATTCTTATGCATTCAATTACTTGATTACCATAATTTGATAGCAGAAAATACATACTGAATTTCTCGCGAGCTGTTAACTAGCCAGCAACGCAAACGACACATCCTGCTAGTATCTGGGTCATTCAATAGAGTTTTAAAATATACATTTAAAATTTTCCACATTTTCACTGTTCACTAGAAACATGTCTTTCCATATCCAAGAGAAAAATCAGTTACAACTGAGTGTGTAATTACACGTCTCATATTCAGCAAAGTTAATTGATCTCCTCTCTCTTCCATCTTTCCAATCACACTAAAGCGCAGGTTAGTACTTTTGCTCGCAGCTAATGCAAAATCTAAAATTGCAGCAGTCACAGGCGTGTCCAACTTGATAGATTAACGATGGAGGTTTGACGTTAATTAATGATTACTTACTGCTTCGCTTACAGACCGACAATAAGTTCAAAACAAAACTGACAATGTAATGGGCTGACATCTCATTGATTTAAAATGTGTAGATGTTACAGTCATTCTCTTATTTGGTAAGGCAATAGTGGCGAAAACTCTTACCAAATGATATTGTTTAATTTCCATGTAAATTTACTTTTTTTTGCATTGCGCGTGTCTTTTTCAAGGTTCCTTGAGAATCAAATTTTTCGAGCATGTCATTTCAAGTTTTCACTGGTGCAGAAAAGTGTTAAGTTCAGTCCTCCTAATGTTGTTAATTCAAGCTTGTTTGTGTAATTTGTTGCCAATGAATGAATATTTATGCGACCTACACCGCTCTTCATTTTGTCGGACGGCAGAGCAACCTACAAACAAAACACAACCGAAAACGAACAAAAAACTAGAGTACCCAAAACAAGATCTGCTTGTTGACCACTCCTCGAACGGCCATTGCCTCGCATTGTTTTCTTCCTTTCTGGACTATATTAGTCTCTTTTTCCTTTTGCCGAAAACAGGAGTTAATTTTTACGGATTTTGAGTTCTTTCTTCACTGACCAGTCAGTTTTTGTTTTGAGGTCAAAATATTTACTGCAAAATGTAATTCATATCCTTTTCTAAACAATAATTTATTGTAAATTCCCGAATCTTTAACAACTGCAGAGAAGTTTCGGTTAAAAGTTGCTCCAAAGCTATCCCACCTTGTGGGGCTACGTTGTGTCAATTTATATTTCGTTCTGAAAAGTGTGTGAAAAATTAGTGCAATGAAGATCACATAGTGCATACTTTATTTACATATTGAGTACAATTTGTTTGGCAGGTTTGAACCCTTTTTGATTAACAAAATACTAAAACTTTCTGCATTTTCCCGAAGACTCAAGTTTTAGTTTTGGCAGGGTACATCCTTTTGAACAATTCAGTTTCATTATTTGAACAGCTTAATGTAGATCTCCAACCTTAAACAGCTCTTGGTTCTCCACTTGTTCCGGAGGGTCAGTGACGTACGTAGAATACTTCGGTCTTAAGAGTTATACTATTGCATCCGAGAGGGCTGGACGTCTCCAGTGCATTATTGTTGGCTCCATTGCGATCTTCGTGAGTGCGTTGGTGATATCAGTCGCTTTTCCGGGGAAAGGCGGGCACTTGAAGTTGACCGCCACAAAACCGTTCTCTTTGAACGCATTTGCATTCTGATTTTTTGGGTTGTTGCTGGTACGTGGGTGCCCCAATGGTGACATGGCAGCCGGCACGGAATTCTATTGATGGAGCTTGTTAGTGATGTGACATCGATAAAAAACACCTGGTGTTCAAAATTAAAACATCGACGTTAATAAAACATCGATCAACTACCATCGATGTTTTAAAACTGGTTTAGTAATCGCTAAAATAAAATTCGTGGGCAACAAAATGTAATTCTACAGTGACTGTTTATTATTTTATAATGAATATTAAACTGAAAACAAACAAGTTTATAAGAACAAATAAAAAGACTCCGTGTAAAAGCCCGAGCGCCCACAGTAATCTCAAGAGGTCTGATCTTCCTGAGTTTGCTGCGGAAGGGTACACAAAGATGAGGGGAGACCTTACTCCCACGGTGTACGTCACCTCTCCATGTACAATATGCAAGGAAGGACACGAAAAAACACGACATCGGCGTCATCTTGTGCGAGAGATATTCTGCTCCATGGAGATAGTACCATTAGTGCATTCTATCGAACTGAATGTAAACTACGGCGCCAGTTCGATTGTGGCACCGTCTCATCCATAAGAGACACATACAAATCCCAGTATTATTTAAATAAATATTTTAAATTTTATTATAAGTATAATTAAAAATGGGCAGAGACGGTGCCAAACAAGGTTGGCTCGACGGTGGCCCAGCGGCTTAGAAAGACGCCGGTAAAACGCTCTTGGCGTTGAAGAGAATATGTGACAATGAATGAATAAAATGGTACATGGTACAAAGAAAAAAAGAAACTATATTTTTATACACATTTGTGGTGAAAATGTTCATTACCTTCCTTTTTGTGGGTGGTGCCATGACATTCTGGCCACCAACCCTACTCTACAAGCCACCAACGATAGAGCAGCTTGAGCCTCTGGCACGTTCGAATACTCGTCGACCAAGTTGGTGCTGAGGTCGGGATTGCGAAAAGAAAATTTGTCACTGCTGACATCTGACTCTTCGTCTTTTATCTCAGGCAGACGTGTTACGAATGGACTGGAGGATGTGGTCTGCCGTATCTTATGTCCACTTGCCTTCGTTTAAACGTAGTTACACAAAGATCAAACATTTCTTCATTAAAGTCAACTCATTAACGATTGAGATTAATTACATCTAATAGCTGCGTTTCTTCCCTCCTGCAGACACTTATTTTGGAAGTTTTAACAAGATCTCCCCTTGCGTATGCAGTGGCTAGAGTATGCAGCTTTAGGTGATAAACATTTCGTGATGTGGCATTTCTGGCAAACCGTAGCGCTGTTTTTCTGGCGTGGATGCGTCACAAGATTTTAAAAACACTAGATTTGAAAATTCACCATATAACACCAGCAAACAGAATGTAACTCCACTTCATGTTATTTGAAATACTGTTATGAACAAGCATTTTTCCAATCCAGTCCTTTCCTTTGTAGTTCTCATTATATTATAAATTTCATATTACACTTTCGCTTCGTTTTCTTCGTTGTATGTTCTGTTATTATATAGTTCCTTGTACACTTTTCGGGTGGAATTCCTGAACCTCTTTCCAAATGTTTTCTGAGCTGAGTTTCCGCGATTCTTGTAGTCCGTCTTCTCCTGATTGACCCTTTCCTCTTATTTTCGTGCCTTTTTTCTTTCACTTGTGAATGGACGCTTCTTCCTTTTCCTGTTTTTCCTTTTCGTGTTTAATTTCCTTTCCTTCTTCCAAACCTCTCATTTCATTGCTTTTCCGGAACACTGTTATTACTAAAAATGATTTTAAGGTAAATCGAATCAAAAATAAACTTACGTAGAATAAATCTCTATCTCAGACGTACCAATTACCGCTCGGTGAAATTTGCATCGATATTTTAAGGTCGGAGATCGCCATTTATTTTTGTGTAATAATGTTTCCCATATATTCAGTATTGAAAATTCCATTTTAATAAATTACAAAACAAAGAGGCTAGTATCTTTTGATATACATTGCAAGGTGATGTTACTTATCGTCGATTGATGAGAAACAAATAAAGTTGCGTGAAAGTTAAATTGAGTTCTCTCGTCCAAAACAGGTTGTTTGTGTTACAACAGTATTCCGGTGCGGAGCGATGGTTTGTCTATAGTTTTTCTTCCCTTCCTTTCCGAAACCTGTATTGGTTCGGACGACCGCCCACCGCACGCACGCGCGCGCTCTGTTGCAGAGATCCCCAAGGTGCCGAACGTGATGCAGGCGACGGCCAGCGACAGCGGCGAGGACGGCCCTCCAGGATCCACAGGTGGGTGGCGCCCCGCTCCGGCCACGCCTGTGTCTCTGCCCAGCCCTCTCCTCCCCGCCCCTCTCCGTCCCGCCCACCGTGTCGCCCCACCCGTGTCCATCCCCGCCTGGCCCGGTCGCACCGCGCCCCGCCCCCCTTCCGACCACGCCCCCGCCCTCCCCTCACCGCATTCCCGTCCTCCCAGCCCACCGTGCTCCGCGAGCCAGACACCACGACCCCGACCCGACCCGACCGACCCGACCAGACGCGACCCAGTCCGCCCAGGACCCGACCAGACAATACCCGACCAGACCCATATCCAGACCAAGACCAGGACCATACTCATACCATTCCAGAACCAGACCAGACCCGACCAGACCAGACCAGACCAGACCAGACCAGACCCGATCAGACCAGACCAGACCAGACCAGACCCGATCAGACCAGACCCGATCAGACCCGACCAGATCCGACCAGACCCGACCAGACATGTCCCGCGCTGCCCCCGCGCTAAGGGTAGAAACAGTGCGCGACGCGTCGTGGCAAGCTCAGCAAGCGGCAGCGGCGCGTGTAGGTCGCGACGTGAACAGTTGGCAGAATGGCGCTGACAAACCCTCGCGTGTTGTTTCTTTGTGAAAGTTCGCATTTGAAGGAGGGAAGGAAAATTCTAAGCGTGGGCGAAGTGAGTGGATGAATGAAGTGTGTTCGGGTGACATGAGCCCAGAGAATGTATGAGCTATAGTAAAATAAACTTCTGCTCACTGCATGAGTCCATTGCCTATTCTACTTCTTCTCACAGCGTGTTAATAACACCTCCGTTAAGGAGTTGTTTGTGCCTGTATTTCCGAATCAGTGGTCTGTAGATCTTCATTCACAGAACTAGTAAAGTGCTGCTGATCGGTGCCTAAGGCTGCTCGCGCTTCGCTCATTCGCGAAAACTATAAATGTTACAACAGCACAGACGTTTTCACGTTTTTTTTAACTTTTTCAATTTTCGAAAACTCCGAGAGATCAAAAAAACTGACACGTGCACCATTATTATTATTATTATTATTATTATTATTATTATTATTATTATTATTATTATTATTATTACTATTATTATTATAAGCGTATTTTTTCTAATCGAGAAAAAATCTGTGGTGTTTGAGAATTTTTTAAAAATTGCCTTTATTTCATGAAAAAATACGTGATAATCCTTTCTGTTTTTAAAAATGTATACGTGATCTTATTTAAAGAATTATTTTTTTAGAAAATATTTCATTATTTTCAATATTATATTCATTTCAATATTTCATAAAAATATCTCTATTGTCAATTGCATTGTTAATTTTGTAACTTACGAAAATACAGGGAGTTCACCGGTTTTTCGGTATCGAGTATTCACAAATCGTGAATTTTAACTAAACTAGTTAAGATGAAGTCATTTACTACATATAGAAATCAAGATTCATCCACATTTTTGGTATCCCACAGTACGAGTTTTTCTTTCGAAAAATTGTCACTTTCCGCTACAGAATTAGAAACGCGACTGTTCTAAATTTCGTCTTGCCATGCTGCTCTGCATCGCTTGCTTTGTGCGCATCTTCCGAGATATGCGTGGTTTTGTTCTTATCGCGTCCCGATGTATCTCGGCCTGTCCGTTTCTACCCCACACAACGCAATCCGAGCGACTTGCGGTGTCTGCACAGACATGATGGAGTAGTTTGTGTAGAGCACAGAGCAAAACGATATGAAGCGACGTGATGAGCAGCGTGAAGGGTAAAGACACTTTTCGCAACTTTCATTCTAAGTATTCGTTATGAACTGTGACGACTGAGTGTGATAATGATACATCCTCTCTATTCTAATTTGTTCGACTCGAGCTATCCATCAACCACTGATTTGTATACATCTGCATCAGCAGTGAAGAAGTGGTTACATACAATGTCCCTACTTTTCAGGCCACGACTTAACTCATCTCATTACTGATGACTAATTTACATGAAGTAAATAAAATGAAGTCATCGTCGGCATTGTGATGTTGGAAAATTACTGATTTTGTGGTAGATTTTACTCAATTTAATACATATCTCCTGTTTCATACAGGTGTGTAAACTTAAAACGTTATTATTGATACTGTAAATTATATATTCAGATGAATGCCAGCCAACGTGATGTATTGTGGGAATATAGAGATAGAAGCACGTTTGCTGCCATTCTTCGAGGTTAGGAGTGGTTTCAAGGAATTATTTAATTCGTTTCGATATCATCTCTGCTCATAATATTGTAATGATTGATACAACTCATACTCAGTAGCGTGTGAAAATATTGAAATGAATTCCCATATAAGGAAGTCAAACGACATGTAATACACGTCAAAGAAAAGTGGACAGCTCACATTCAATAAAAATGTAAGTTCCTGAGCTATTAACTTTTTAATCTTTCAATTAAATTTACAATTGTTAATTTTTAATGAAACTCATGCAAATAATACGTTTGAAAATATGATATTTGAATTTAACTTTCCTCAACATTATACAGAGTAATGCATAATATTTGCTCTTGAACACCGCTATGGATTTTAGTAATAATTGTCGTGATCAATTTCCTAATATTTAGGGAAACTTTGTGCATAGAGCCAATCCCAGAAATAATCTGCCAAAGAGGACAGCATAGAGAGAGCAACAAGTACTTCACGTATACGTGGATAAAATACATTTTTGAAACTATGAGTACGAAATATTTAAATTAAGCATATTGTACAGATATGGTTAATTGTAAGAAGGAATAGTTAGAATTAAAATAAAGTAGTTATATAAGATTTATAAACCACAAGAAGTTGTAAAGCAATGTTAACCTGTTAAATAAAGAAAATGGTTTCATGGAAAACATTCACTTTCAATAATTGTTAATTTTTTCTACTAAAAAATATCCACGATCATATATTTTTTGCAATTCTAATGTTATTTAATGTAATTGAAACTGTAATGGTGTCACGTATTCAATCCTACATCACGGGAATGTTCACGGCATCCCCCTTTTTGATCTGCCCTTGAGGGAGGAGCTGGAAATGCACATTTTGTCCAAGTCGCTGGTTGATAAACGAACAGACTTAATTGCAAAACATCTGCGGACCACGTAAATTGCTACAATTGCTTTAGGTTGTTTTATTTTGACTTGGTAAATAACGCTCAAGATTCAAAGTACGAATTCAATTTAGGGCAGCAATATAACTTATGCATCACGAAAGGCGTATTAAAGCAGTCCTTAAAAGCGATTAACTTTTAGAGCGTATTAAAGATTCTACTAGCCATATTGTGATAGATATGGCGCAAGACTGTTAAATATTTATCTATGTGGCTTTTATAACAATAAATATATTAATACCTGATAAGTTTACGATAACAATAAAAGAATACTTTTGAACAAATGCAACTCAATTTCAAATATTAAAGTTTGAAAACTGCAAAAACGAGTAAAATGAAATGGAAATACTAAATATTTTTGGAGAGGAAAAGAAGAATAAACAAAGAAGAGAGCATGGGAATGAAAATGAAATGATTAACGATTCGTTATGCATTCTACGCCAACTGTATCTAAGACTAACGTTGAGTGAATTTCATAGATGGACGGACCACGAAATAAGAGAAGCGCCTTGCAGCTGCAATGACAGAGCGATAAAATTATGATAAACAACAAACCGAAGAATGACACGTTGTAAGGTCGTAAGTGATATAAATGTTTTCATAAATACACCCAACCCACGAATATTTAGTGAACTCTGACATGAAAAGATGAGCTGCGTGGAAAGAAAAACGCCGTCGGGGCTGCCGTCAGCAAGCGTAGGTCTTGCAGGCATGGGGCGGGCCTCTCCCGTCGCGTGCGTTCAGAAATGACGCTGGCGCTCACCAATCAGCGCAGTGCGTTGACCGGCCGGGGCGCGCGCTTGCGCTGTTGCAGACCGGGAGCAGTGCGGCAAGTGCAGCGCCGGGACCCGCCGCCTCAACCTCATCAAGTTCTGCCGGCGAGACTATGGTGAGTACCCTGCGGCACCATTTCCTGCTCTGCAGCGGTGTTCTTTTTATCCTCCACCAAAGAGTCAAGTGCAATTGTTTTGCTCCTCTTTCAGAAGTACTGCTGTTTGGTGATTTTATTTGGTCTTGGTGAAGAGATTTTATTACAATTGTCGAAATATTTAACATTCTACAATCGAAGGTCTCCTGGGAATAAGGATATAAATGGCGAAATGGGATGCAAGTGGGATAAGGGATAAATATCAATGCTGTTTGTTGCGCGCTATTTCTGATAAGGGGAATAATTCGGAAGTTATTAATAGCCTAATAATTTATTAATTAGAAATAAGACATAAGACCAGCCATGAAAGCCGACTGTTCAGGCAAAGGTATGTAGCTTGGCGTTTTAAAACACGTTAACGAATGCTGTAGGCATAAAATAAATTTTAGATAACTCTAAGGTCCAGGAAAGACAATGCCTCAAAGATCATAGAGAAATATACTTCGGGAAAAGGCTCTATCAAACGGGCAAAACAGATGCTACCGAGGTGGGCGGAATGAGGGTGTAACATCACTAACGAAGTGTGAAGAGTAACGAAAACATGGAATACTACTTTATTAATGCTTCGTCATTTAATTTGCAGTGCAATTTTTTTAATATCAATATGAAGGTTGCAAGGTTTCTAACCATCAATACCCACAGTTGTCTAAATTTATGATTTTTACTTTCCCGTAACCTACAGTGCAGTGAGGAAACGAGTAGGAATCTAAACAGAACGATCTCGAATTTTTGGTCCTAAAATTCGTGTTTACTGTTCTATTGATCTGTGGCTCTGCACACACGTGAGGATTAATGTCTTTCATTTTTTGCTTATACCCTATTTTTTTATTGCCTTCGATACGACGTTCGATATACACTAGAAAACTTACTTGGATCGAGAGGAACGTGACTACGAGAAAAATGTGAAAACAGTTGAATGATGTGACATGATCTCTTATGGAGGCAATTATGGAAGGGAAATGTGAAAAGAGAAACCAATCTAGTTAATTAGTAAACCTGAATCAATGAAATTAGGTAAAAATAATCGCATATGTTGTCGCCCGAGTGCATAAATAAATATTGGTGCGGTTTTAAAGATAGCAATGATAGCGAGGAGATGGACTCAATTTTGGACTCGAAAATAGGAATGCCTGGATATATGAATGGCTGGACACACAGGGATGGAAGTATATGTCACCCATTACTTTTTGTCAGATTAGAAGCTTTTGAGCTGAAACTTGGTAGTCACGCCAGGAGTAAAAGTCTAGAAGCGGGAATCAATAGCTATTTCAGTATGCAACACTGTGCGTGGTGGCATGCAAGTGCGAGAATAAGTATTTAAGTTGACATTTTACTTCATTTGAAATCGTTTAAAGTATTTTGAGGGAACTTTAATTTCATTCACTTTGAAATTAGGGATACATTGATTTAATTTTGTAAACAACGATGATTCAAGCTTTTTTCTTCTGTAACACGTAAACTATTATAGTAAGGTAAACATACGTATAAATAATCATGAAATGTAAATATCCCTTGAATACAGTTGTATTCTTGCTTATACCCATGTATTCACTAATGCATTTTATGAAATATATCGTACAAACAAATTAGTCTTCCTATTGTAAAAATGTGTTGCCAGTTACATCATTCCGGGCAGCTCTTCAATGAGAGAAAGAAGAGAAGTTATACTCCACAAACATTTTCAATATTTATAAATGCTATTCACCAAATGTTATGCATGTTGCAAGCCTTTTCCCATATCATCACGCGGTAGAGTGAGAGACAGTGAGTGAGCGAGTGTGGTGTGTGATAGAGAGAGAGAGAGAAAGAGAGAGAGAGCGAAAATGAAAGAAAAAACAAAGATGTTTGTATTATCTGTATAATATGTTGCTAACATTTGTAACATATACAATTTTTTTTTGTAAAAAATAACTTCCTATTTTCTTTGTATAATATGTATTTTCCACAATATTTCTGCGGTAACACCAGATTTTAATGGGTAATTAATTCGATTTCGGAACTGCTCAGGGGTGGTGCTTTACGCATTTTCTGTGATTCTCCTGAATTCCTATCAATCTCGAAAGCGCCGAACAAGAGTTTTTGGCAAAGAATACGAACACAGCAGTGGCGATTCATAGGGAAAGTGGGTTTTTTATTTGGTCGGGACCGTAATTCTGATTTTCTGTCTTAAAAAAACGCAGGTCAGGATTCTTAGGGTATTTACATTAAATCCGTAGTCAGTAATTGGGTAAGTGAGATAATACAAAGTAAAAGAACCTTCTGTACAAAACAATCCATCTGAATGAATATTGGCGATGATATTTTTAGATAGTTAAAATGGGTTACTATGATGATACACAGTGCAATATTTTTAGCGAATGATCACTTCTGTTTCATTCGAGTAACCATTTACTACTATTTACTATTGGTTGGCCGAGCGACTCGAAGGATTGCTTTACGTGTTAATTAATAATATTCCAATTCATCTTCTCTGTAGGACTAGGGTGTATGTAGAACGTTTCCCACCCTGGCAAAGTCTGAACTTGTTGCAACACCTTGCTTGCTTTCGCCAGTCACACCAAGCCATCGCGCCGATGCGGCTCGTAAGCGCGTTTAGAACGCACGTTCAGTATTTAATCTCTCGCCTGTGTAGCTCGTAAGCATATCTGCTGGCTGCGAACAAGTATATTCTCAATGTAGGACGTCGAGAACGAGACTTTTTGTCAATGAACATACGATGACAAATCTCCTAGAACATAATATCTCATATAAGTTACATTTATGTGATGCTGAAAATCGTGCTCCCGTGACAGGCCGCCAACTCATCACGCACTGATACTGGGAAGAACATGAAATCTCTTTGACTGCGATCGTCAAATTATGTCGCGACAAAGTGTACCTGCCAAAAACTAGTGCAGGATGTGTTACCCACCAAGCAGGAGGCGCGATATTCAAAATTATTCGGGGTAACATGTTCACTTGCACAAGTGATCATCTTTGACCTCAATATATCGCAGACGTTTGTAACATTTAATCTAAATGTCCAGTTCATTTGCACTAATGATCATCTTCGAACTCAATGTATCGTAGAAGTTTATAACATTTAATCTAAATGCCTAGTTGATTTGCACAAATGATCATCTTCGACCTGAATATATCGTAGAAGTTTGTAACATTTACTCTAAATGTGGAATGTCCTGCTGGCAATGGCCCGGGCGCGCGTGTTGCAGCGGTGCTGGCGCGCGTGGTGGCGCGCGAGGCGGCCGGCGACTGGGTGCGCTTCTCGGCCACCGTGCAGCAGGTGTTCAAGCGCGCTCGCGAGTCGCGGCTGCGGCGCGGCGCGCTCGACCTCTGGGTGCACGCGCACGACCTCGCCTGCAAGTGCCCCAAGGTCAAGGCCACCAAGTGAGTACGTCTGCCCCGCTCGACGGCACGGCAGCATTGACTGGCGTTTTCGCTCCATCGTCGCCCCTTTACAGGTCACATTCTTCCATTCACTTTTTTTCACTTTCTCGTACGTTTACATGATCTGTATACACCTTTTCGATCACTTTTATTCATGTTCCATTCATGCTTATATTCATTCAGGACTGCCATCATTCTGTACGCTCACTTTTCCACTCAACCTTTCACGGCTTTGCAATTGTGCCTCTCGCCATTCCACCGCTTCGCTGTTTCATGACATCTTCCTCCCCATCTTCACTCATTCTTAAACATCATCTTTCTTTGCAGTAATATTATTATTGCATGCTTACAAGCACTGATTTAGACGTATATCCTCTATCGCGCCCATTGTCTTACATGGCCCCTTCGCGCACGCGTTCCTTTCCGCCCACGTACGTTCTAGCGTACGCATCTCCTTGCTCACGCTCGTGCCAATTCTGCCTCTTGCCCATTCTGATCAAGCCTAATCTCGCACACGCCCATTCTCTCTCACCCCCGTTCTCACTTACGCCCATTCTCTCTCACCCCCGTTCTCGCTCACGCCCATTCTCGCTCCAACCCAATCTCGCCCACGCCCATTCTCGCTCACCCCCGTTCTCGCTCCAACCCAATCTCGCGCATGTCCATTCTCTCTCACCCCCGTTCTCGCTCCAACCCAATCTCGCGCATGTCTATTCTCGCTCACGCCCATTCTCTCTCACCCCCGTTCGCGCTCCAACCCATTCTCGCTCCAACCCAATCTCGCACCCGCCCGTCCACCCCCACTTTGAAGCGTGATCGCCGCGTGTGCGCAGGACGTACCTGGTGCTGGGCCGCGAGGCAGAGGGCGGCCGCCCGGGGCTGACGCTCAGCCCGCGCTCCATCGTCATCGAGTGGCGCGACGAGTGGCGCCGGCGCATGCGCCGCTTCCAGCAGCGCGCGCGCGACTGCCCCTAGGCGCCGCCAGCGCCCCACTCGCCCTCCACCCCCCCGCTGCAGCGACGCCGACGCCTCCGAGGACGGCCCTCGCTCATCATCGCAGACGGCGTCCTCGACACGCGCTCTGCGGTGGAAGTAGTTGCCACCTCCGACGACGGCGTTCTCGATGTTCCACTGGCGTTTTGGGCTTCTAGAGAAGATATCTTCGGTTACGTCGGGATGTACGACGTGATTCCCCTAGCGGCATTTCGCGACGTCCTCGTCATCACTATTGTCAAAGTCACTTTATGTAAATGTCGTTCTGCTGCCAAGTTATTGTTACCATCCTCTTTGCGTTTTAATAAAAAAATAGCTTGCTTCTGTGGAGTCGTGGACGTCGCTAAAAGGTTTGCATGGGTGAGCGATGTTATGTGTCAACGTCGATATGAAAGAATCTCGTATCTCACGAAGTCCAGGCTTCGTTTGGCAGTGCACGCGTTTAACTGTGCCACCTACGCTCCCCTGGCAACGTTGAAGGTAGATTAATGTGCGCCATCAATTTTTCGTGCAGTGTAAAACATTGGATTTTGCATAAATTCCTCATCAGAAGACGACGATTACAAAATATTAGTCATATTTATGCCCTCCAAATGTGTTTTCTGGGCACCAACCGTCAGGTCTGCGGCGAAAACAAGTTAACATCCTCTGTATTATAAACTCAAAGAATATTAAACCAAAGGCCTTTCTACGGCGTTTGAATCAGTGCTTCACACATCGGTTGACATCGTTCTGGAGTGTGGAGTTGCGTAGTAGACTGAAATCCGGGTGGCAATCTTGCTGCTCCTGGAAGTCGCGTGAACGGACGACTTTCTGTAGCTACCAATTGTTGTGTCTGTGTTCTTCATTGTAGTTGGAACTGATGAATAGAATCAACTGTACATGAAAGAGATCTTGGTTTACAGGGCTTACCAAACGTCAACAACCTTGTGGTCAACATAGCCAGGGGCCGTTGAGGCTAATATTCATCTCCGGAAATGCGAGTTCCTGGCGGAAGGAATTTTGTTACGTGATGTGAAACACATTTGGAAGAAAGTAAATGCAATTTGACCTCTGTCCAAATGTTATTTCAAGATTCTTATTCTTTGGCCAGTTCAATAATTCGAGTTACTCTGACAGGGCATCACGATCCAGGGAGACAAACTCAAATCCCTGAATGTTTAAATCAAGTCGTAAATAAACAGAAAAACGAGACGTAGAACTGAAACTCAGTGGCATTGATGATTTTTCGTATTAGGTGAAATGTACAGAGAAAAAATGGGTAGTGAAGATTTTTCAAAATATCTTACAGGAGATAAACCTTTCTAAATTATTTGTGACTTTGATCTTGAAATATTCAATGCATTTGAAAATTATCGGATGACATGTTTATATTTAAAAATTCTCATACTAGATTTCCTCGAAATAGTTATAATTTTGTTTTCATATAATCCTATTCCTCCATCAACCATTTTGAACCACACTTTTGTATAATGTCTAATGCAACGCAATTCTTCTCAATATCCATTTTTTTGATTTTCCATGATTATAAATCTTTGTTGAGCAATATGTTTAATTGAACAATATGTTTAAAACCAATAGTAAATTTCAACCGATTCAAATGATAGTGATTATTATGAAGTTCTGATATAGTGTCTTCACATTCGGTCGGAACTATAGTAGACTATAGTAGATACTACTACTACTACTACTAAAACTAATACTATTACTACTACTACAAATACAACTACTACTACTACTACTACTACTACTACTACTACTACTACTACTACTAAAACTACTACTATTACTTCTACTACTACTACAACTATTACTACAACTACTACTACTACTACAACTATTACAACTACTACAAGTACTGCTACAACAACAAATACTACTACTTCTACTACTACTACTACTACTAAAACTACTACTATTACTACTACTACTACTACTACTACTACTACAACTACTTCTACAACTGCTACAAGTACTGCTACAACAACAACAACTACTACTACTACTACTACTACTACTACTACTACTACTAGTGAGCAGCCATAACCATGTTTGTTGAAGAGGCAGTTATCTCCCCGATGGTAAAAAAACCTTGTGCATCTTGGTGAGTGAACACTTGTATTTTATTCAAGACAATATACATCATACTTTGAATACGATTGTCACGTAAAAAACTAACTATATTTATATTGTTAAAATGAAATATATTTATTTGCAAGTTCAATGAGGATTTTATAATAATACTTTTGATCTATTACAAAAATTGATTTAAACTGTTTAAAACAGAGCAATTTTTTTAGTTAATCTGCGGTATATATTCAATTTCATAATATCATTTATTTTAATGATACTGGTAATATTTTGTATCATACCTCTAAGGGTTGAATAAAATGAGTAAGATTCCGTTTTGTGCGTTGAATGATTCAACTCTTGTCATAAATAAAATTGAATTTCTTTATAAAAACATATTCATTTAAATATCCGTACTGACTGTACGAAGCTGCACGTACAGTACTTTTTTCCTCCAGGAACTCGCAAAATAGAATCAGCATGTTAAGCGTCCAGGTTGTAAGAAAATTGTAAAAACTATTGCCAAAAAACTGTCTAATATTTGCTTTGAACGTACCTGCTGTAGATCTTGTCTGTGCTCTAGAAACGTAATAATAGCTAGACTATAAAAAATTGTCTGTGTATATATTCAACGAGAATGTACTGTTTTACTAAAAAACTGACGTTCTTTACCCTTCAGTAATATCAGCATTTTTCTTAAACCTGGATAAGCTTTTGAAGTTAGAGCACTTACCGAGGAAATCTTTAGGTGTGTGAATACGCAGAGAGTAAGCAAGCCTCAAAGGTGCTACTTTCATATTTGCTGTATTTGTAGTATGGTTTTTGGAAGCAAGACTCGACCAACTCAGTAATGCGCATTCTCGAGAAAGGAGTCTGCATCTAAAAATGTACATACGTATTAATCAGAATTTGCATATCTCCAGTGCCTGCACAAAAAAATATTAATATCAAGCAATCTAATGCAGTAGAGCTCAACCATAGATTTTTATCTATTGGCAATACCCAAGAGTTTTTGTAAAATTACAATTTTTAAAATTCAAGGATTTGGTCCGTGAAAATATTTTAATATTGTCAAACATACTAGCATATACTAAGAACGTGCAGAGCAAGGTATACAGTAGGCTTGCTTCCGGGAATCTTGAGCCAAAAAAGTCACAGTATTAAATGTATAATGCCGAGTAACAGAGGCTGTTTTGCATATCTGTATGCTGACAAGAACTGATGTATTTATCTCACTATTGAATATCTAATTTATTATTTCAGCCTAGTTATTGTATTTATTAAAACAAATTGGAGGTCGGCATAAACGGTGACGTCTGTAAATGACACCACGAACTACCATATTTTGAAACAATTTTGAACTTGAGTGATTATCATGAATCTATATTGAATTAACCATCACTACTCTGTTTTTCCTACTTAATGCATGATCCCAAAGTTTATTTTATTGGCAGAAGTATGAAAACACCCGAAATTTGTAATATGTATATCTTAACATTTCTGGTGTCATTTTAGACTGTCAATCAGTGACTATCAATTTGGCGATCATAGACTGTTCTTTATATTGTTTATATATTGTGTGTCATGTTCAGACAAGTGTTATGAGACACGATTTTGTGGTTGAAATTAATAAGTGCGAAGATATTACTTTAGGAGAAATTAAATTCTTCATTAGACCAATTATGGTTTCTAAAAGGAAGATACCCTCCATAGAAGCTTTAGGAATTGGTGCCAAGGAAAAAGCCCAGAAGATAACTAGCACTGTGGATGAAACTAGCAAGTGAGTTATGTGAAATTCTTGTGAGAATGGTGGAGGAAAGTTACCATATACACGACGTAGGAAATGAAGTATCGAACTTATGGCTTTGTAAGAAAGAATAATAATATTCGAACGCCCGCAATTTAAGCAAAAACGGGATGTTCTTTACTTCGGCATTTTTCACCTTGTACTTGAGACTAAACTGCATATGCATAATATTGACTGGCGTGATTGCATATTTTGCAGAGTTGTCTGTCTTCTTGATGGTTCATGCTTATCTACCTATTGAATCCAAACCGAGCATATTCGTGTTTGGTCATGTGTAGAATTAAGAAACAAGTGTATTTCGTAATATATTTCTTACTGTATTATATTTAAAACTGTGATCTTACATATTTTATAATTTTGTTACTAATTTATTACACAGAGAATTAATACTGTATTAAGTGTCGTATTTTGTACATTTCTCAATGAATCAGTTTAGTTACTACGGGTCGGAATAGTACAGGCTCTGAACAATTATTATGAACACTCTCCGTTCAAGGCGAAGTGTGTATTTTATTCATTTTCAGAAGAAGAAGAACGCTCATTGTATGGTTTAATCAGAATAGTAAAGAGTCTGCACATTTCCAATATTTAGTGCGTATTAAGTGTATTTTTCAGTTAAACTCAAGTTCTGGTGTTAAATATTTAATGTATCGTTGTTCGTCAAAATCAAGATTTTTGTCACATTTTCTGAATATCTGCTGTTCTCTCTATAATATGCTGTAATATATAATTATTGAAACTAATACCTTAAAACAATGAACAATTTACGAAATTAGTTAAATTAAATTGTGCTCATACTAATTTTACAGGGACTGGACTTTGATGACTTTACGTATATCTGTAACAGAAGTGATAGATTAGCAATCTCAGGAGTTACTGGAAAGCTTATCCATTGCACTATATTTCTGAGGAAATATTTGATAATTATGTTCACATAATATTTATTGTATGTTTTGTTAAATTTAATGATTCCTAGATACTTGCATATCCAGGGTGGTATGGTAGCAGCATTGCTTTCTGTTCTTTTCGAAACTTCAGTAGCTCCTTAACCGAATAAACAGCAATAAAACAACCCACACTAATTCGTGTTCACGTAGCTTCCTGAGAACTCGTATTTTACACATTGTGAACAGCAGGGGGAGTACCAGAATATTATTTCCATTATATATGACAGTTTTTAAAATGTTTCTTCAAAATAAAAGTGGAAGAATCTCTTCAAGATGGTAAAAAAACAAGAGTTTCAAGGTGGCAAATTCAAAATATTCGTATTAAGTTTTACAACTAATATGGAAAATTTGCGACTAAAAGGGCCATATGTACACCAAAACGGAAATAATAAAACCCTGATGTGTTTTTTCTATTAAAGATATTTTCCTTTTCGTTGCAAATTAAATATAATGTAAAAAGCTCAAAAATAATCTCAACTACTCCACACATTTGTAGAATTATCGTGAATACTCTTCGGGAAGGTCCAGCTGTCAGCCGTACAGATTTGCATTTGCCCTCTCAAAATTGGTTAAATCATATGCAATAAACTTGTTTTTGAATTTTATTTTCTCATACAATATTTATTATAAATTTTATTTGATACGCACCGTTTAACTGATTTCTCAGCTTTTTTATTGTTTTACAATACGTCTCTAGGCCAAGAGTACATTTGATGTTGGGTATTGCCACGTCACTAAAATATTTGAGTTTTGGTTTAATTATGTCATTGCATTGTTTTCAGATATTTTTTTTAAAATCATATTTTTTACTCTAAATATTTATATAAATTAAAATTTCGTTATTCCAAATTTTACGATTTTTACTATAAATTGTTTTAATATGTTGAGTCATTAGTACTTTCGTTCGCTTCAGTAAGTCTATTGCAAATAAGAGGGCAGAAAATCATGATGTCCATAGGCGCCTGCGTTGTAATTCGCACAAAAAAAACGATTTTTTATTTTTTGTGATCCAGAATGTTTGGCAACTGTTCATCCATACAAACTGCCGATTCTGAAATTTTTCTAATTATCTTCGTCGAAAATGAATATTTCTTAAATGTCACCTACAAATTACAGATAAGTTTTGAAAAAAAGAAACATATTTTTGGCTTCTTTTTCATATTTTTCAGAAATAGTATTAAGTTAAATTGAATGTGCAGCCTGTCATTCTATTCGACGAGGTTCAATCTTAGCATTATTTGCCTTCTTAACGTTACGATCTTCATCGTTTCACATGTTCTTAGTCATTATTCCAAATGTATGTCTAATGTGTGGTACTGTGTCGAAGTGCCTATGAATTTAGGTTTCCGAATGGCAGATGATTCGTATTGGTCAAACTCCCTATTATCAAGTTTATGCTGTGGAGTGATACCAAATAGTAAAGGGAAATGAAAAGTCGAGACTTTTATATTTGTCGTAGTTCTGGAAAATAAATGTTCACTTTCTGTGAATTTTTAATGTCTTAAAAATCGTATTTCGTGTTTCACGTAACACACTATTTCTAAAATATGAAGTTCCGTTAAACATTCGTAGGAGTCCAAAGAACCCCAAAGGCAAGGTTTTGTCAAATTTTGACAAAAATTGTAGAATTCAATTTTTTTATGAACGTGAGATTAGACTACCCCAAATAGTAGAAATG